CCATAACTCCTTCCAGGGGATCCGACAGCCTCTTCTGACCTCTGTGGGCATTGCAGGACATAGGTGCACTTACTTACATGCAGGCAATACACACATACACATAAAATAAAAATAATAAGAATATTTTTTTTAAAAAAAAAAAAGGTGTGCAGGGAGTCCTAACTTTCTGAAAGAGACCCAGCTGGTGCTGAGGAAGAATCAAGACAGGTGGCTGTTGGGGGCAAGGGGCTGAGCTTCAGGGAAGGATCAGGAGACAACGTCCTAGTGGCCAGAGGTCTGAACTAGGCACCTCCAGGAGGGGGCATGGCATGTGTGCGTGTGTGTGTGTGTGTGTGTGTGTGTGTGTGTAGCATGGCTTACAGAGTATGGGGCTGTGGCTGGCAGAGGGAGGCACTTGGAGGCCAGTGAGGTACAGAAGAGGGGCCTGTACCCCCTTACATGAAGCAAAGGCTATGGGGATGGAGGTGGATTTGGACCTCCAAAGTCAAGTTTAGTGTTGCCAGATAGAGATCAGTCCTAATAGTCAACTATGTAGGCAGTCAAATGTAGGGCTGAGGTGGGGACAGGGACAGGAAGGTTCTCAGGGGGTAAGGGGTCTGAGCCAGACCTTCCCTTTCCCTTTGGGGCCCTGGGGCCCGGCTCAGGCCTCATCCACCCACAGGTGAGCTTCCAGCACGAGGTGTACCCAGAAGAGCCAACCACTGTCACAGCCCCCAGCCAGGAATTGGAGGAGCAGCCACTGTCCCGCCAGGTCCTCATCGTTCAGGAGCTAGAGATCCGCGACCGCCTGGCCACCTCCAAGATCAACAAGTTTCTGCACTTGCATACGAGCGAGCGGCTGCCGAGGCGCACGCACTCCAACATGGTGCGGCAGGGCATGGGCAACCTTGTCTCCACAGAACCACCTGAGGGATTTGTGTTCCTGGTGGTGACCAGCACCCAGCCAGGGCTTGGGGGAGGAACAGCATGGGCAGAGGCTGGCTTGATGGGGTGGCATTTGGGAACAGGGGTTTCCAAGGCCCAGCAGACACCCAGAACTTGCCCTCCACCCTCAGCTCACCATCAAGGCATTGCACGTGGCCCCCACCAGCAGCCTGGGTGGACCAGAGTGCTGTCTCCGAGTCTCGATGATGCCTTTGCGGCTCAATGTGGACCAGGTGAGTTGGTGGGTGAGGGCAGAGCCCAGTGTGACCCCTCCCCATCTCCAGGCCCCTGGATCTGATCTTGAACTCTTCCTACAGGATGCCCTCTTCTTCCTCAAGGACTTCTTCACCAGCCTAGCAGCTGGCATTAACCCTATGGTCCCAGGGGACACTTCTGCTGAGAGTGAGATGCTGGGCCAGGGAGGGGAAAATCGAGACCCTGCTTGCCCAGGGAGCACGGCATCCAATCCCTGGTCCCATCCTGGATCTGTGACCTCTCTAGCTTGGCGTGAGACCCACAGCCAGCCTGACAGCCCCCAGGAAGGCCAGTCAGAGGATACAGAGACAGCCAGCAGCCCACAGGAGGCCCCAAGCAGTGGCCATAGCTCCTCTGACCAACAGCCCATCTACTTCAGGTTAGGGCTGTAGAACGGGGGCTCTGGGCCAGTCTGCAGGGGACCTGGTCAGTGACCAGAGATTCCCCTCTCCCTGTTTCCCCTCCTAGGGAGTTCCGCTTCACGTCTGAGGTACCCATCTGTCTGGATTACCACGGCAAGCACGTCACCATGGACCAGGTGGTGAGTGGTACCTCAGGCTGACTGGGCAGCTCGGTATGGGTCCTGGAAGTGTTCATCGGGCCCAGTGTCTGCAGCCACACACCCTGTCTTTATGCCCCACAGGGCACTTTTGCAGGACTCCTCATCGGCTTGGCTCAGCTCAACTGCTCTGAGCTGAAGCTCAAGCGACTCTGCTGCCGGCATGGGTGAGTCACCGTTCAGTCCCTGTGTGGACCCTCCATCCTCCCCTGCACTTCTCACTGGTCATGTGGCCTTCTCAGGCCCAGGTTTCTCTCTTGAGTAGGCTGTCTGGGTGGGACCCTGGGGAGGGCTGGAACGTTCACGGCACTCATCTCATAGGTACTTGGTTACTCTTGCCCGAGGCTCTGCCCCACCTCACCCTGTGCCCTCCCTTCCAGGCTGCTGGGAGTGGACAAGGTGCTGGGCTATGCCCTCAACGAGTGGCTGCAAGATATCCGCAAGAACCAGCTGCCCGGCCTGCTGGGAGGCGTGGGCCCCATGCACTCGGTTGTTCAGCTCTGTGAGTGTCTGGCTTTGAGAACTCTTTTGCTTGGTTGCTTGTTTGTACATGAAGGGAAAGTAAGAAGAACTTGAAGACTGAGTGGGCTTCCAAGAGAAGAATCCTCTTTTTTTTTTTTTTTTTTTTTTTGGTGTTTTTGAGACAGTGTCTCCCTGTAGCCCCAGCTGGCCTGGAACTCACTATGTAGACCAGGCTGGCCTTGAACTCACAGAGATCCACCTGCTTCTGCCTCCCAAGTGCTGGGATTAAAGGCATGCGCCACCACGTCTGGCAAGAATGCTCTTTGTAAATCACATTTATTTTGTGTGTGTCTATGTGTATGTGGGTACATGCATGCCGCATGTGGAGATGAAAGGATGACTTGTGGGCGTCGGTTCTCTCCATCATGAGGGTCCTTGGGATTGAATTCAGGCTGTCAGGCTCAGTGGCAAGCACTTTCTGAGACAGGCAGACCTTGAACTTGCTGTGTAGCTGAGGATGGCCTTGAACTCTTGATTCTCCTGTCTTCACTTCTGATTTCTGGGATCATAGGCATGTGACACTATACCTGGTTTGTGCCATCACACCTAAGAATTCTTGAAACTACCTTACTGCTAGGCAATCTCAAAATTGCCATTGGGTGCCAGGCATGGTAGCACATGCCTATAATTCAGCACTGGGATGACAGGGGCAGGATTACTGTAAATTCAAGGCCAAGCTGAGCTACATAGTGAGTGCCAGGCTAGGCAGGGCTACCTAGCAAGACTGTCTCCAAAAAGAAACTGCACTGGGGAAGTAGGGGTCCTGGGGCAGGGTAGAGAGGGCAGGACAGCCTTGGTGTCTCTGATAACCCTGTCGCCCAGTCCAAGGGTTCCGGGACCTGCTGTGGCTACCCATTGAACAGTACAGGAAGGACGGCCGGCTCATGCGGGGTCTGCAGCGTGGGGCCGCCTCCTTTGGATCATCCACGGCCTCTGCCGCCCTGGAACTGAGCAACCGGGTAGTACAAGCCATCCAGGTAAGTAAAGGATGGGACTGGACTATAAAGGGGTGCCCTTGTCCCCAGGCTCTCAATTCTGACCTCAGTGCCACTGAAAACTGGCAGGCTTGGTATTATAGGTTGTCAATCTTAAATAAATAGTACACTAATTTTTTTTTTCTTTTTGAGATGGGGATCTCCCTGTAGACCCAGTTGACCTGGAACTCACTATGTAGACCAGGCTGGCCTTGAACTCACAGAGCCTCACCTCCTCTGCCTCCTGAGTGCTGGGTTTAAAGACGTGCGCCCCTCCCCCCAGCATACACTAAAATTTTTTTTTTTTTTTTTTTTTGGTCTTTTTTGAGACAGGTTCTCCCTGTAGCTCCAGCTGTCCTGGAACTCACTATGTAGACCAGGCTGGCCTCGAACTCACAGAGATCCGCCTGCTTCTGCTTCCCAAGTGCTGGGATTAAAGGCGTGCGCCACCATGCCCTGCATACACTAAAATTTTTAAAGAAAATTCTTTGAGCTGGGTGGTGGGAGCCACACAAGGGGAAGAGGAGGGTGAGATGCTGAAGGCTGAAGGGTGTCCCTTTGGTGTTCCTCAGGCCACAGCTGAGACAGTATATGACATCCTGTCTCCGGCGGCTCCCATCTCCCGATCTCTACAAGACAAACGTTCTTCACGGAGACTGCGCAGAGGTCAGCAACCTGCTGACCTCCGAGAGGGCATGGCTAAAGCTTATGATGCAGTTCGAGAGGTGAGGATGAGCCTTTCTGCTCCCAGCTGCCTCACCCCCATCCTCACTGACCTCTGACCTCCCACCCTTCACAGGGCATCCTGGATACAGCTCAGACCATCTGTGATGTGGCCTCTCGAGGCCATGAACAGAAGGGGCTGACGGGTGCCGTGGGGGGCGTGATCCGACAGTTGCCCCCGACGGTGGTGAAGCCCATCATCGTGGCCACAGAAGCCACATCCAATGTGCTTGGGGGCATGCGCAACCAGATCCTGCCGGATGCCCACAAAGACCATGCTCTCAAGTGGCGCTCAGAGGAGGCCCAGGACTGAGCACATGCAACCAGCTTCCTGGGGTACTGCCCACCCACCTTCCCATGCCTACCATATCTGGCCAGCCCCAGTGGTGCCACCAGTTCCTCGGTTTCATGAGAGCTGTGAACCACAGCCAGGCCACCAGGCCCTTCAAGGGATGGCCACTGTGAAGGACGCCTGCCCAGCCCTGCCTGTTGCCAATCTGCCGTGAGAGTGAGGCCTCCCGGCTTTGGGGCCTTGGCCCCGTCTGTGCACTTTCCTCTGGGGAAAAAGGACATTGCCCCTCCCTGCCACCCAGGTCCACACTGCTGCCTTGTTCCAGAGTGAGGACAGAGGCTTTTGGACCCAAGGACTCCACTCAGCCAAGTGTCTCTCCATGTTTCGTGGGGAGGTGGGGGACAGATGCTGTGTGGGTCAGTGTATTATTTTTAAGCTCCTTGAGCATGTGGGTCAGTGTCTGCATGAAGTGGAATAAACTTGCCCACCGCCAAACCCTCTCCCAGGTCCTCTGTAAGGCCCCTACTGCCCTGCCTCAGCCTCTACCTTGACTCCCCCAGGTCCTGCCTCTGCATGTATTACCCCACCTGTCGCCACTAGGGGGCACCACACTCCCAGCCTTCTGCACATGCCAACAGCCTCTACCTACTTTGGGCTCCACCTAGACACCCTCCTGTCACTCTGGCCGTAGTTAATGGTGGATGCTGATTGAAGCTGGGAGGGGTCGCCTGGTGCTCCCAGAGGAGGAATGGCCTAGACTCCTGCCTCAGCCCCAGTTTTTGGTTCTGTTCCCATAGACCCCAGGGTCCAGCTTTGCCCTGTGCCACTCCTGTGAGGCTCTGGTATGTAGCCTAAGGCTGTGCCTGGTAATCTCTGCGGCCCAGACAGGTTTTAGGACTGTCCCATGTGGCCGCTTGTAGTAGGCTGAGCCCTAGATCTCTGGAGGCTCCTCTCACCAAGTCTAGCGGAAGGCTTTTGTGGTGCCCAAGCCTTGGTGAAGAGGATGTTGGGACAATGCTGTGGCACTTAAAAGATGCCTGTTGCCCTCCACCCCGTATGCTTTCTTTCCTGAGCTACCTCACTGACCCCACCCTCCCTCTAGTAGCTCTACCAGCAAGAAGGTGAGCCTCTGGGGAAACTGAGGCTCGGGTTAGGAACCACAGTTCCCTCACCTTGCTGGGACTCCTCTGGAAACCTAAAGTTAACAAAGTTCCTCTGCTCCCCCTTTGCAGCCCCCTGGGGGGATCTGAGCACTGGGAACAGGAATGATTTGTCCCTGTCCCCCATTCCCCTCACCCCACCCCAGTGCTGCTCAGCTGGGGGGACAGATCAAGGGAGTGAAGCCTGTAGGGAGACAGGCATATGGGTGGCCAGGGTCTGATACCACTAGGAGGGGCAGTTGAGGCCTAGCCTGGCACTTCCTGGACCCACCCCACCAGTCCGAGCACAGTCCAGGTCTCCTGCCCTTCGAACCGCACTTGTGATCAGTATTGATGGCAGTAGGCTAATCATTAACACCACCAGGGGCTGGGCCAACGGCTCAAAAGGTGCTGAGCGCAGGGTGGCCCCACTTCTTCCTTGTGCCCCGGGGGCCAGCTAGGTACCAGGTAAGAGCTCCCGGCTGTCTCCTCAGGCTGCTGTCCTGAATGTCCCCAACCCTGAGCCTTCCTGTAGGGCCATCAGCCCTGAGCAAGAAAGAAAGGCCTGGGGCAGTGTCCCTGGGAAAGCCCATTTATGCCTCAGTTTCCACCTCTGGATGAGGCGGCTGCAGCATCTATACTGCCGAGACAATTCCCAATCAGACACTCGTATCTGCCCGGCTGAGGCCCTGGCGTCCCATGTAGCAGAGGGTTGGCCTGCCTAGACCTTGGGGTGGGTTGCTGGGCTCTGGGAAAAAGTTGGTCACCAGCTCTGACATCTTCCATGTCCTCCCAGGCAGGATCCAAGGGAGCTGGGACACACACCTCAACTGTATCCTGAGAGGGCAGGACCTACCCTAAGGCCCCCTGCTCCGGGACACTGGGCAACAGCCTCTGCTTCTCTGGGTCTTTTTCTACCAGTGGGAAAGTGGGGGTGGTACACTCTAGAAGCTTCCTTTTCTTTCCAGAATGCCTTCTGGGTCCCGGCAGGTCAGACTGACACCCATCATTGAAGCTTCTTGGTCCAGAATCTGGAGGGAATGAGAGGGCAGAAGGAGGAATGCTCCTGGACCCCTGGGCCAGCTCAGGGATCCCACCCAGCAGCCTCCTTCCCCTCTTCACAGCAGGAACAGAGGGGAGGGCAGGGGAGGCAGTTTCCTACCAGTCCAAACCAGTGTGCAAGCGAGATGGCCTTGCAAACCCTGGTTTGCCCAGGAGGAACCCACAGTACTTCAGAGAGGCTAAGCTACTTGTCTGAAGTCACACAGCTCTCAGGCTCCTGCTGGCTCGGACTGCTGCGGTACTAAGTGTTCTTTCAGGTAGTGGCTGCTCGCCACTCAGTACTCATTGTCGAGTCTGATTGGGTGCCAGCATCCTCCCTCTCTTTCCCTCCCTTCCTCCTTTTGTGCAGTACTGAACCCAGAGTCTAGCACTCCACCACTGAGCATCACACAGGCCCTCAATTCCCATCCTCCCTCTTCCCCCTCCACTCTATTCTGGTTCCTGCCTGTTGCTCGCTTTTTCTCTCTTGGCCCCTTCTGCTCCTTCCACCCTTATCTCCAGCTTCCTGGGCCACCCTCAGAAAAATGGCATTTAGAGTCCTTTGCTGTCCCTTGGCCCTTTCGCTACAGCAACAATGATGGGCAGAAGCCACAGTGACCAACTGTAACTGGGCCTCAGTTCTATTTGGGCAAGAAACAAGGAAACAAAGAACTTGGGGCCAGAGGGTGTGGGGGGTCAAATGCTGCCAAAGAGCCGTAAATCGGAGTCACTCCCAGTTTGATGAGGCGGCTCTAAGGGTTGAACCTGGACTTCGCCCAGGAAGAAGGTTGGTGCCCCATAGGCGCCAGGTGTGGGCCTTGAGTGATAAGGAGCCTCAATAAAAAGAGTGTGGACCTGGATCCAGGGCAAGGCCCAGGGCACTGGTGGGCCATTGTGGACATCTTTCCAGGATCCTGTCGAGAGGAGATGCCTGCATGTGAGGCCCTGCCTCCCAGCGGCCTCTACCCCCTGTAACAGCAACTCCATGTGGAAGTGCCCACTGATTCCAGTGGGGCTGCTGTTATCTGGGGTGGAGGCTGGTACTCATGGAGGAGGAGAGGCCACAGCCACCAGCAGAAATCTCCATGGCGGTCCCTGGGCCCAGGACAGCAAAGGATGGTGGGCTGTTGGTAGGCTGTCAAGACCGAGTGCACAAGGCTCTGACCTATGAATTGACAGCCAATGCTCTTGTCTCCCCTCTGGCTGCCAATTCCATAGGTCACAGGTATGTTCGCCTCAATGCCAGCCACTAGGACCTGAAGGGGCAGGGCAGGGCGGGGTGGCCAGAGGTCAAGGCCCCAACTCCCTCCTTCCCATTCCCACCTTCTTGTTTCCTCTTTTGCAATCCTACCTGCCTGCCTGCCTGCCCTATGGCATGCCTATGTGCTCAGTGCTGGGGATGGAAACGGCCTTGTACATACTAAATTATGTGCTCTACCACTGAGCTGCATCTCAGCCAGGAAGAAGCCTTTTTTGTTTGTTTCTTTGGAGACAGATCTCATGAAGCCCAGGCTGGCCTCAAACTTGCTATGTAGCCTAGGATGAACTTGAACTTCTGGTCCTTCTGCCTCTACCTCCCAAGTGCTGGAATTACAGACCTGCACCACTACAACCTAGTTTTACTCCAGGGTGCTGGAAATTGAACCCAAGGCCTCCTGCATGTTAGGCAGGCACTCTGAACTACATCCTCAGCCCAGAAGCCTCCTTAAAGTACTTGATTCCAAGTGGCACCTGGCACCTGAGCTCCCAGGCCACCCCTGAGCACTGTATGCATTGAGTCCTATTGCCAATTTGTGCTGTGTGTCCACCCTCCCACCACCATGAACTCAGCCCCGGGCCAATAGGCCCAGAATGACTTGCCAAACAGACCCAAGACTTTATTTTGCACTGTTGGAGTGGACAAGATCAGGGATGCTGGGCTGAACTTGGTCCACTGGCTCTTCTCCCTTGCCAGGCTCATTTCCCTAAAGCACAGCCTGGAACTCCAGGCTCCCCTGGCCCAGCTAGAGCTGGTAGAGCAGCTGCCTTAGAACCCAGGATTTTTTTTGTTTTTGTTTTGTTTTTTTTGAGACTATGTGAACCAGCCTGGTTGATCTCACAGAGATCTGCCTGCCTCTGCCTCCCACCAAGCCCAGTAAGAGTTTATTGGGGTTGTTTGTTTGTTTGTTTGTTTGTTTTTTCTGTGTGTATGTTCATTCGGCCATCTGCAATGAACAGTATTTCTGAGACAGGGTCTCCCTGTAGCCCCAGCCGGCCTGGAACTCATTATGTAAACTAGGCTGGCCTTGAACTTACAGAGATCCGCCTGCCTCTGCCTCCCAAGTGCTGGGATCAGAGACATGTGCCACCACGCCTGGCTAGCAGTACAGGCTTTTAACTGCTGAGCCATCTCTCCAGCCCAGACCCCAGGATTCTAAAGACAGCTGGGTCCCCTCTGGTGAGGGGCACATCTGACTGAACAGGGCTACACAACCCACTCCCTGTCCCCACCTCCTGCACCAGCCCAGTCCCTCTCCTTTCTTATACAGTGGGACTTAAGGAAATTTCTATTTGAAAACCAAGTTTCTGCTACTAAAAAATAAACTTTTTCATATAATCCAGGCTACCCTCAAACTTGGTTTTGTGTTTTATTTTTGTGTTTTGAGACAGGGTCTCATGCTGTAGCCAAGGTCAGCCTGGAACTCATTCCAATTTGAAGCCATCCTCCTGCCTCTACCGCCAGTGTGCTGGAATTACAGGTGTGCGTTGCCATACCCAGACAACTAGAAAAATAAAAATTTTAGCCAGTGTGGTGGCACACAATTGTAATCATAGCACTTGGGAGACAGAGGACAGGCAGATTTCTGAGATCAAGGCTAGCCTGGTCTATATAGCAAATTCCAGACCAGCTATGGTTACAAGGAGACCCCCTATCTACAAAAATAAAAATAAGCTGGGCGTGGTGGCACACATCTTTAATCCCAACACTTGGGAGGCAGAGGCAGGAAGATCTCTGTGAGTTCAAGGCCAGCTGGGTCTGGGAACCAGCAAGTGAGGCCTCTCTGGAGTCCTTCTGGCAACCTGGAGAGGTCACTTGTGGGCCTGTATCAGAAGATGCACGCAGAAGCACACATGAAGCTCTTCTCCCTCCAAGAACCTTGTTCAGCAGTGTGTCAGGTCCCAGCACTGGCCTCTGTTCCTTTCCATGTCTGAGTGACTTTAGTCCCACTGTGGCAAGCTGCTTTGGATCCCTGCACTGCCATCCACCCCAGCTAAGGCCCAGACTCCCTCTCTGCAAAGCCCCTGCATTCCTGCCTTTCCTACACCTTTGTCTGATTGCTTATCTAAACTCACTGG